AATGGTTCCCAACTTCCACTGCTCAGTGGACTCACCCAAGGAGCTTTTAAAAATCCCAGGCTGCAATTCAGACCAAGTGAACAGAAACAGAAATTCCTGGGGTGGGCCTCAGCATCAGTATTTTTTAATGATCCAGTGTTTCCAATGTGCAGCAAAGACGAGCATCACTGTTCTATACTCTCTTCCTAGAGCAGGATGCCGGCAGAGTCAGAGAAGTAAACAAACAAAGCAGGCCAGGCATAAATTTTAGATAGTGGTGGGCTCCTTGATGAAATAAAAAGCAGCTGAGATTAGCTGTGACTTAGCTCCAATCAACTGTTGACATACGGGAAAGCCAGTTCAGTAGTGTTACGTCTTCTCATTTAAAAAAAAAAAAATCCCCAAATCTGGATTTTCATGGGAAATCTTCAGATTTTAAATTATTGGCAACTAACACAAAATTAAACAACAGTAACAAAAAACACCGTATGGGACAAACAAAACACATGAAAGCAAGATTCAGCTGTGGGCTTCGGGTCTGCAACCTCTGCCCTGGGTAATTCCATCCACAGTCTTCAATTTACACCTAAATATCTGTGTCCCCAAATCAGCCCACTCCTCTGGGCTTTGGATTTGAATTACCAAATGCTTATATGACGTCTTCACTTCAAGGTCACACCAGTCCCAAAGTGAACTGTGATTTAAACCCACCTCAAAACTATTTATGCTTCCAGTGTTCTCTGTCTCAGGTAACAACTCCAGCATTCACCTGGTCAGGCAAGCTAGTACCCTGGGAGTCATCCTATGCACTTATTTCTGCCTCTCACCGCCTGTACCATATCAATCCTCGAATCCCAACAATTGTGCCTCCTAAATATATCTCCTGTACCATCTACTTCTCTCCATCTTCTCTGCTACCACCTTGGTCCCAGCTATCATCTTTTCTCTCCAACCTTTCAACAGTGTATTAGCTGGCTCAGGTTACCATGATAAAATACTACAGAGGGTGGCTTAAGCAACAGCAATTTATTTTCTCACAGTTCTGGAGGGTAGAAGTCCCAGATCAATGGCCGGCAGGGAAGGTTTCTGGTGAGGACTCTCTTCCTGGCTTGCAGATAGCCACCTCCTCACTGTATGTTCACATGGCTTTTCCTCTCTCGTCTTCCTATAAGGCCACCAATTTTATCAGAGTAGGACCACCCCCCTTCCCATATGACCTCATTTAACCTTAATTACCTTCTAAAAACTCTATCTCCAGATGTAGTCATATTGGAGGTTAGGGCTTCAAAATATGAATTTTAGGGAGACACAAATCATTCAATACCATATGGTAACCTTATTTAGATCAACTGTCTCCTGCATTCACTCGTTTCCTTCCAAACCATTCTCTCCAATATGACTAGAGTGATCTTTTACAAAGACAAATATTTACAAATATGTGTGTGTGTACATATTTGACCCAATAATTCCACTTCTAGGAATTTATCCTACAAATATATTCATACACATATGAAGTGGCATATGTATATATGTATACGTATAGTACTGTGTGTTATAGTAAATTATTGGAAACAATTTAAATGCCCATCAACAGAGGAATGGTTAAATAATCTGTTGTGTATCCAGACAATGGAATACTATACAGTCATTCAAAAGAATAAGGAAACTATATATTGAAATGGAAAGATTTCCAAGATGTTAAGAGAACAAAACAAGGAACAGAACAGTATGTACAGTATGTTACCATTCGTGTCAACAAGAGGAGGAAAGAATATGCATTTGCTTGAATGCTCACAGAAAATATCTAGAGTGACACACAAAACTAATAACAGTGGTCATCCCTTTGGAACGAGTGGGGAAAATGGTAGCTGGGGGAGGGAGTAGGACCCACTGCAGACATTCTGATTTAATGGGCCTGGAGGATGGCCCAGGTGCTAGTACTGTTTTAAGTTCCTCTGGTGATTCTGATAAGCAGGCTAGATTGAGAACTGCTGCTCGAGATAGCCTTCACCTTATTTCCCAGCTTCATTTTCTATCATCCTACTCCTAGCACTCTCCATGCTCCAGCCACACTGGCCTCTGAGTTCCTAGAAAAGGTCCTGTTTCTTCTGCCTGAAATATTGTATCACTAAGGTTCATTTTGTAATTTTTATTTGTCCATCAGAGTCCCCCTCACCTTAAAGGTCATTTCCCAAGGAAACTTTGCCTAGTTTCCAATCTAGGTCAGGTCCCCTTTTTAGGCACTCAGAGGACCTTGTACTTCTCCCAGAATTTATCACAACTGTAATGAGGAATTGTATAATGATACATGTATGCATCTGTCACTCTCTTTAGACTGTAATGTCCAGGAGTAGAGAGACTACATCAGTTGCTTTTACCACTGTATTTCCAGACTTAAATTAGCATCTAGCTGGCAAAGCGTGTCTTCCCTCAGATATTTGTTAAATAAATGAATGACTGCTCCAGCCCTCAAGCCTAGCACAGCAGAGAAAATCAACACATAAGCAAGTGAGGACCACGCCACTGATGTTAACTGTCACTGTGTTAAGGCAGCAGTCCCTTAAGAACAGTGATCTCAACTGGGGGGGATTTTGGCCCTCCTAGGGGACATGTGGCAATGTCTGGAGACATTTCTGATTGTCACAACTCTGTGGATTGTGTGACTGTTTTACTGTCATAACTGTGTGTGTGTGGGGGGGCACTACTGGTATCTATTAAGTAGAGGTCAGAAATGCTGCTAAACATCCTATAACGCACAGGATAGCCCTCCCCAACAAAGAATTATTTGGCCCATAAGTTAACAGCACCACGGCTGAAAACCTCCAATTTAGAGGATGGTGATACCCAATAGGGTGATCAATTCTACTCCATGCCTTGGTGGGGTTTTTTTTTTTGGTGGGGGGCGATGCTAAGAAAAGCTTCAGAGAGGAAGTAAAGCTTTAAGCTACGTGTTGAAAGGTGGCAGGGGCCATACCAGTGTCGACTATGTTGCTGGAGGTAATGAGGAGCCTCTGAAGAGTTTAAAAGCAAAGTTGCCCCCTTCAAGTACCCCATACTCCAAAAGTACTCATCTCCTTTATTCCCTTCTTGCTGAGACAAAACTTCCATTCTCTTAGAGCAGCTGGTTTCAGCTAAACATTAAGGCCAAATTAATTCAGACTAAGATAAAATCAGATAGCCCTTTCACTCTCCAGAATGCTAAGCTGTATTTTTAAATATGCAAATACTTATGAATACAAATAAATCTGCTTAATATTCAGGTTGTTAGTAGATAAAGCTATTTTTGAACTCAACAGCCAGGTTGGTCCTGATAAAGACTTCTCCAAAGCTGTCTACTTTTAAAAAAACTTTAGTTTCCCCTGTCCTCAATTTCTGAGCTTCCAGATTTATAAAAGATCCAAATTTTTCCCACAAGTATCTCATGCTATAAGTTCTTCTGCCAGAGAGGATAGGAGAGCCATTTGGATGCAATAAATGTGAATAAATTGTATAAATTAGGAGTGGTCTATAGATTTTTAAAAGGCTTTCACTAAAAGTCATGGATACTACTGCAAGAAATGAAACTGAGATCGTTTTTAATGGTATTACCAAGAAAGAAAACAGGCTTTTACTACAACACCAGCCTGCTGCCTCCTGCGCTGGATGCACATGCTCTGACCTAGTATGGCAATTCTTAGGGTCTCAGCACTGGGTGCTCTGTTTACCAGAAACTGAGGTCTGGGACTAATGAAGAAGAAGAACAAAAAATGCCTGGCACCAAAGATCTGGGGGATGTTTTGTATGTAAATGATTTGAGGAGGAACACTTCCCCAGATTTTGGAAGGCACCACAAATCACTCTTTTTTGCTTACGTGTTAAGAACTTTTATTTCGCGTTTTCAGACCATTTCCTAATAAGAAAATACCGTATAATTTACAAACGGCAATTTATCCCCCCTTACATTTGCTGACCACTAAAACGGGATAAAATTTCCTTAAGGTTTACCAGAGTCGGAGGATTGGGAATTATGTGAGCACAACAGAGTTCACACGCAACAGCCACGCCAAGAACGGCCAGCTGGTTTCCATCGAGAGGTCCCCCAGGAGAACGCCCCTCGGAGGCGGCGGCTGGGGTCGGCGCGGGAGGGGACCCGCCGGGGCGGCCGCAGGGCAGGGGTGGCGCCGGCCCGGCCTCCGTTTACCTTTGTTCAGGTACTCCCGCTCCCAGCCCGGCCGGGCATCCCGCCCGAGGCCCCGCGCTGGTGACACATCCTTCTTTGGCCAAGTCGGGCCAAGGTTGGGCAGGGGGCGGGGAAGGAAAATAAAGCCTCAGCGCCTAACGACGTGACTCTCAGTTCTTCCAAAACGTTGGCATTTGTTTCCCTGCCAAGCTTTCCTGTTAACAAGTTCCCGAGGGCTGTGCGGGCGAACTGGCCTAGGAGCCCGAGGTGGGAGGGACCAGGCCGTCCCCCGCCTTCCCTCCCCTCTGGGCGCCCCCGGGGCCGCCGGTTTCCACACCTCCTGGGCAGCCAGGCCGGGGGCCCGCGGGGCGTGCAGAGGCGCCCGCAGCGCCTCGAACCCCGACTCCCACGGCTCTGCCAGCCGGGCCAGAGCTCGGCGGCCCCGCAGGCCCCTCCGGCCAGGCGGGTCCCCGCCCCCAGGCTCCGGCCCCGCCCGCCCGGGCCGCCGCGCGCCGCCCCCCGGCCTCGCCAGCGCCCGCGGGCCGGGAAGGGGGCGCGAGGGCTCCAGGCCGCGCGGCGGTCGTCTCCGCACCTACCTCAGCGCCCGCAGCTCCTCCTGTGGCGGCGGTCTCGTCTCGCGGACGGCACTCACCGCCAGGAGTCCCGGCGGCGCGGGACCTGGGGGTGCGAACCCAGCGCGTGAGGAGCGGAGGCCCGAGCGCGCCCCGCCCAGCCGCCCGCGCGCCCCCTCCTCCCGCTCGGCCCCACCCTCCGCCGCGGGTTCAGCGCCCCGCCCCAGCCCCGCCCGCCAGGCCCCGCCTCTCCCCGCCGGCCCCGCCCGCAAGGCTCCGCCCCCCCCGCCGGCCCGAGGCCGGAAGGGGGCCGCCAGGGGCACCGCGAGAGCCGCTGCCGGTGCAGCGCCCTGTACTGCTGCTTCGCGGGGACGCGGTTCGTGGTGCTCGCTACTGTTTGACGGATGCGAGTCTCTCTCTCGGGTTTGTTATTATTGTGGTTATTATCTTTATTGTTGTCGTTATCGTCATTAGTTGTTTCACCCTCCTGGAGCAGACGGGATGGTTCCGTTGAGGGCGGAGGCGGCGGACGGGTAGCCCTCGCCGCTGACTGGACACCCGGGTCACTCCGACCCTCCCAGAGGCGGCACCTGCGCCACGTTTCCTTGTGAAGTAGTGGACAGGTTGTGTGAATTTTGAAGGAAGAGATATTTATTTTTAACTGTTACTGTTAAATATAACACAAATACGGAAAGCCATACAAAACCAATGCACAACGTAGTGAATTATTCTGAGACATACACCTTAATAAACACTCCCCAGATTTAACGCCGTGTGAAATGGTCTGGCTTAAAACAAAATCTCATCAATAGCTGTAAGGATACAGTCTGGGAAGGGCCTCCTAAAGTTGCCCTCCTAGTAACTGCCACGGGAACTCAAAGGCCACCTGCCAATAATCATGTGCTCTCCAAGAACACATTTGTGAAATGGAAATTTCCCCGGAATTAGGACCCTCCAATTAAGAGTGTATTGGTAAATTCTTAATTGAAAAGAAAAATCAGTAAATATATACATATGTAAATAGCAATAAATAAGTCATCACGAGACTGAACAGCATGTAAGGAGCATCTAGGAGTCAGGGAATGAGAAGTGTATAAAGACTTAAACGTAGCCGGGGATCAGGTGGCCTCAGCATCTGTTTTGGGCGTATGGGCTGTCCTCCCTCTGTGTCACTAGCACCTAGTACAGCACCAGGCGTATAATAGGTGCACTGTGTGATTTATAGTGGAAAGAAAAAAAATGTGTATGAAATCACCCAAAACAGGCTTTGACTACTGAACAATTTCATTCAAGGTCAATTTTTCCAATAGCTAAAATGATGTGCTTTGTGAGATGCCTTGATGCCTTGGAAAGAGGCCATTATACTTTAAATTTTATACTGCTTTCCAGTTTTAAAAAAGCCCTTTCACATGCATTACGGTATCTTATTTGAGACTTAGAGCAGTCCTGTGAGAAAGGCAGGGCCGGACGGAGAGACTCCACAAAGGGCACGGTGCAATGCATACCTGTAAGAAGGGGAAGTACATGGTGAACTATAAAACAATTTCAGCACTGCTGACCGTGCCAATCCCTGCTGGCTTCCTGGCTTGTCTTGGCAGTTTTATTGCCTGTGTTTTTACATTAGGACTTCTTTGCCATACATTTATATAGAGAATGAAGTGAATTTATAAGGAACACAACACCTAACTGGAAATTTGATTCAATATCATGGAGGCAGCCTCTCTGTCATGAGCACCTTGATGAATTAGGGCTAGTGAGCTGCCAATTTGCCACTGTGTGTTGAACACCCTGGCTCTGTAGTTGGTGGTGGGAATATAAAGAATAGAAAATGAATAAGACACAATTTTTCCTCTCAAGAGTTTATGGCCCAATTAGGGAGAAAGACTTAGAAATAAATGAGTGTTTAGTTTATTTGGATGGTAGAGGAACAGTCCTGAGCAGAATTAATTCTATTGGGTGTAGGGAGAGAGTAGGGCAAGTCTTCTCAGAGAAGAGAACATCTGATTTTTTAAAAAAATATGGAAAAATATCAAATATTTCAAAACTAGAGAGAATAATATAATGAACTACTATGTACTCATTACTCAGTCTCAACAATTATTATTATTATTATATTAATTATAATATAATATATAATTATAATTAATTATATATCCCATGACCACTTTATTCCATCTGTACTCTCACTTTCTCTTTCCCTCGCAGGATTATTTTGAAGCAAATAACAAGCAGCATGTTATTTCACCCATAAACCTTTCACTATGTATGTCAAAACAATATGATCTATTTTTAAAAACAACCACAAATTAATTAAAATATCTTTAAAAATTAACAATTTCTTAAGATGTCGTCAATGGTAAAATTTTCCCAATTTTGTTATAACTGTTTTATATAGTTTATTTCTTCAAGTCAGGATCCAAACAAGGTCCTTACATTATATTTGGTTAAAATCTCTTAAACTCTTTTCTTTCTTTGCACTTTATATGTTATATGTTGAAAAAATTGATTGTTTGTCTTGTGGAGTTTCCACATTCTGCATTTTGCTGATTGCATCCCTGTGATGTTATTTAACATGTTCCTCTACCCCTGTATTTCTCATAAAATGATGATAGAACTAGAGACTTGATCAGATTTAGGAAAATACACTTCATAATAAAGATAAAAGTCAATCAATCAAAAACAGACCCCCCAAACTGTCACAGATGTTAGAATTTGCAGACAAAGACATTAAAACAGTTGCTGTAACTGTATTCCAAATGTTCAAAAAGTGAAGCAGAGACATATAAAAAAAGACTCAAATGGTACTTCTTGAGATGAAGATTATAATGTCTGAATAAAATACATCGATATGATTAAGGGCAAATTAGACACTGCCAAAGAAAAGATTAGTGAACATGAAGTCACACCAGTAGAAATTAACCAAAATGAAACATACATAAGAAAAAAAGATTTAAAAAAATGAAAAGAACATTGATGACCTGCGGGACAATTTCAAGTAGCCTAGTGTGTGTAAATGGACTCTGCAAAGGACAGAAGTTGGGACAAAAAATATTTGAATAAATAGTGGCCCAAAATTTCCAAAATGGACAAAAACCATAAACTCACAGATCGAAGAAGTTCAACCCACCCTAAACACAAGAAACATAAAGAAAACCACATGAAGGCACATCATAATCAAATTGCTCAAAATCAGTAATAAAGAGAAAAATCTTAAAAGTAGCCAGAGAAAAAAGACATGTTATGTACAGAAGAACAGTGAAAGGAGGATGGTAGATCTCATGTTAGAAACAATACATGCAAGAAGAGAGTGGAGCAATATCTTTAAAGTACTTAAAAAAACCCCTGTCAATCTAGAATTCTATTCTCATCTGAAATATTTCTCAAAAATAAAGGTGAAATAAATACTTTTTCAGATATATAAAAGCTAAAAAAATTAGTCATAGCAGACCTGCACTACAGTAAATGCTAAAGGAAGTACTCCATATATAAGAAAAATGACACCAGGTGGAATTATGGATCTACAGAAAGAAAGGAAGCGCACAAAAATAGTAACTGCATGTATAAATATACAAAATCTTAGCATTATTATTAAAATCTCTTTTAAAGATAATTGACTATTTAATAAAAAATAATAACTATTACATGTATGATTGCCAGATAAAATACAGGATGCCTGGTTAAATTTGAATTTCACATAAATAATTGTTACTTTTTTAGTATAAGATTCTCTAAATATTGTACAGAACATGCTTATTTTATAAAGTTATTCACTGTTTATCTGAAATTTAGATTTAACTGAGTGTCCTTTATTTTTATTTGATGGATCTGGCAACTGTAATTTTGAGGTTTATAACATAAATAAGTAAAATGTCTGACAAAAACAGCAAAAAGGGTAAGAGAGGAAATACAAATATGCTGCTATAAGTTTCTTATGCTCTATCTATACATGAAGTGGTATAATTTCACTTGAACATAGATTTTGATAAGTTAAAGGTTTATACTATAAACCCTAAAGCAGTTACTAAAATACCAAGATAATAATAAGCTAGTAAGGCAACAAAGGAGTTAAAATGTAAACGTAAAAAATTCAATTAATCTAAAAAAAGATAGAAAAAGAGGAAAAAGCAATAAAGAAGAGATTGGAAATACAGAAAACAGTTCACAAGATGGTAGACTTAAACCAAACCATATCAATAATCACAGTAGATGTAAATGGATTAAACATCCCCAATGAAAAGGCAGAGACTGGATAAAAAAAAGAAGACACAACAATATGCTTCTTACAAGAAATGCACTTTAAATATATAGACACAAATAGGTTAAAAGTAAAAGGATGGAAAAGTATTTACTACACAAACAGAAGAAAGCCAGACAAAAGAAAAGATTTCAGAGCAAAGAATATTACTGGGAGTAAAGAAGGTCATTTCATAATGATAAAGGGTCAATTCAATAAGAGTACATAACAGTTCTAAATGTTTATGCACTTAATAATTGAGTTTCAAAATACTTGAAGCAAACATAGATAGAAGCAAAGAGAAATAGACAAATCCACAATCATAGTTGTAGATTTCAATACCTTCCTTCCAGTAATTCATAGAACAAATTGACGGAAAATCAGCTGACATACAACACTTGAATAACACTATCAGGCAACTTTACCTAATTCATATTTGTAGGACACTCATCCAATGACAGAATTCACATACTTTTCAGATGCACGTGGAATATTTACCAAGATAGACCAGATTTTGTACTGTAAAACAAATCTCCATAAATTTAAAAGAATTCACGTCATACAAAGTATGCTCTCTGACCACAACAGTAACCAATAACATGTCTAGAATTTACTATATTCCCTCCTCCTCTTAACTCCCAAACCTGCTCCATCTCTCATGTTCCTTTCTCATGTTAGGTCGAGTTCCTATTATTTGCTCAGTCCCTTAAGCCAGAAATTCTTCCTCCTGCCCCATCATATCTCTTATAGAACAAATCTCCAAGTTCTCCTGACTTTTCTTTCAAGTTATTTCTCAAATCTGTTTGCTCCTCTGTGCCACTGTTACTGCTGCCTCAGTCATTAGTAGTTCAGGTCATCGCCATCTCTCTGTGTGGGCCTGCGCCAGCCACCTAACTGGTCCCTCTGCCTCCCATCTTGCCCCTTTAACTCTCCAAATATGGCTTAGGGTAGTAAACAGTCTGTCACATTCTTATAGTTTCTCAGCATCTGCTGAATAGCTTTCCTTTATTTGGGGAATGTCTACTGTTAGGAGTCCTAACTCCCAAGGTGGAAGCCAGAACTCACTTTCCCCACTTCCTTTGCAGCTAGGGGAGAGTACGTGACCTAGGCTCTATCAGATGTTCCACACAAGATTTTAATTAAGAAGAGCACAATGTGAAGAAGCAGGACATCCACAACAGAGTAAAGT